ACTTGTGATTGCCCGTGCAACTGACCAAGGAGCCTATCCTGAGCCTTGATATCATCCTCAGCACCTGTGTGACCCATGGGATAATCACCTGTGAGGAGCAGGCAGCTGATGGCACCTCTGCCTGAGGCTTCCTGGATAGGCCTGGGCACAGAACGGCTAGACAGCCTGTGTCTGTAAGAGGAGATGCGTTTACTTCTGGGTGGAACCAAGAGGATGGTCCCCTTGTGGTATCCTTCCTTGATTACCACATCTCATGCCATAGGAAGGCTCTATTCAGACTTTAATTATCTGTATGCACAGTTCATGCGTTGAATAAAAGTGAGTGACTTTTGCTGTATGAAATCAACCTGGGGCTATAACCAGTTTCCTTGGGTTTAATTGACTCTGTATTTACTAAATCAGCAGATACATTGTCATGCCTGTGTTGTTGATCTGAGAAGAGAGTTGAGGTGCCAAGGACCCTCTGTGTCTTGTGTGAAAACCTATCTGTTCTTTTCAAAGCTTGACTGCATCTGAGAACCATTCTCAGGAGATGGGGCTCCAGGGGGAGAAGTGAAGCCCCATACATCTGCTTCCCAGGTGGTTTTTGTTCAGGCCTATATCACTGTGGGAGGGGTACTTTTACCCTGCTGACAGTAGTAAGTGGCGGCATCCTCAGGCTCCAGGCTGCTGATGGTGAGCGTGAAGTCTGTCCCGGACCCGCTGCCGCTGAAGCGGGCTGGGACGCTATCGGGCCTGCTGGATGCATCATAGATGATGCGCATGGGAGCCTGCCCAGGTCTCTGCTGGTGCCAGGCTAAATACTTGCTGATGTCCTGACTGGCCCGGCAGGAGATGGTGACTCTGTCTCCAGGAGATGCAGACACGAAGGGTGGAGACTGGGTCAACTGGATGTCACCCCTGGACCCTGTATGGGAACAGAAAACACCCCGCTGTTCACCCTGTCACCAGAGGACTTCCCTGAGGCCAGGGATCCTGATCCCGGCACTGGTCCCCTCCTGGGTTTCCTTCCTCACCTGGAAGCCAGAGCAGCAGGAGGCTGAGGAGCTGAGCCGGGGCCCTCATGTCCATGCTGGGTCCTGCCTGACTGACTCTCAGGGGCTGTGACCGGCCTACTAATAA